AGCAAAGCTAGCAATTTATATCAAAAATCCAAATAATCGCGAAATCCCACATTTTCGATAATTGTACTGGCATCAAGGTCATTTCGATAATAATCAGCACGGTGATCACATATCACAATACTTGCAAAGAATGGCTGTGCAAATCTCTTCAACCCTGAGCTGTATATTTTCAGCCAAGAGCTACCACTTATCAAGGGCAAGCCCTTAATGGCATTTTCTATAAAAGTCTTTGCGCAATAACAAGACAACTTTTCAGACATGGTCAGAGACGGACTGTGAACAAAGCATACGCATTGGGAAATCTCCGGTATCCGCAATGTCGCTAATGGCAATGGCCGATTTTGAATTACGACGCCTGGGCAATACCGAACTATGCAATGTACGAGGCGAATTCTTGAAGCATTTAAGGAAAACTTGACTCACTCTCAAATTTCCCATACGGATAGAACGGAACTGAAATTGTATACAGTGACTTGAATAAACCAGTACTATAAAAGAGATGCTGCGGTACACACAAAAGTATAAATTCAAATTTAAATATTTTATAGTTATGAGAAAGATTTTAACTAAAAAGTAGAAAGCAAAAATAAAATAAAAAACAAAAACTGAACTCGAATATTTCAGCCCATTTTTAATGTAAAATTATATTAAAAAATTCCTTGGCGTTTCTGGTATTCTTAAAAATTAAATAAATAGGAATGTCCTGAATCACTAAGTCGTGTATGATAGCAAGCAATGCATTAAATTCTTCCTGACTGTGTTTATAATACTACCTCTTTATGTTCTCTCTTTTATTTTATGCACTTTCATCTGCTTTTGCTACTTCTTGCATTCAGAAACCAGCAAAACACTTGCACAAAAAGAAGGCAAAAGCCCACCAACATCTGCCGCCGCCATTCATTATACGTTTTGGCCTATGTGCAAATTGCAGAAACGCATGCTGCGACGACCCCGTCTGTTTGCGTGTGTATGCGTGCTTGTCTGTCAGGGTATTTCAACTCGGCAACCAAGCAAGCTCCGGCGCCAAAATCTTGTCAGTTGTTTCCCCGGCAAGTATCATCCCAGGACCGCGGTACCAACTCTCCCGCACGTCTAGGGGCCGCGTCGAGCACGTGAAAATTTTGGCGGAAAAACTGCTAACTCAGGGACCAGAAAAACTAGAAAGCTGAAATTTTGAGGTTACATCCCCCGTCCACATATAATTCAAAGATTTCAAATTCAGCTCCCAAGTGTGCGAGGTTCCCGCATACAGGCCCATGAGGGTTCCTGGCGCGAAAATCGCCAGCTTGGTAACCGGGAAAATTGGAAGGCTGAAATTTTCAAGGAGTGTTCCCCGCCCGTGGACAACTTGAATCTACGAAATTCAGTCCCCCGACGTGTGTGGTTCGCACGTGCGGTCCCGTGCACTTTTTTAGCAGAAAAATGGCTAATTCGAGGACAAAGAAAGCTGGGGGTGGGAGGCTGAAATTTTGAGGGGATGTTCCTAGTCTACGTACAGCTTGAAATTGTCAAATTCAGCCCCCAGGCATGCGTAGTCCCTATGTATAGCCCTGTGAAATTTTTTGGGGGAAACTGCTAATTCGGGAACCAACAAAGCTGGGAAGCTGAAATTCTAAGAAAATATTCCCCATCCACACACAACTTAAAGGCTTCAAATTCAGCCTCAAGGTGCGCGCACTTAAATTTCCGGGTGTACGCGTACTTAAATTTTCGGCGGGAAAATTGGTTGAGCAGATGGATCACTTTCAAAAGCGACCGCTAAACAGAAATTGTTCACTTCCGTTTATGCACAATTTATGATGATTTACGGTATTGAGCGCGTAAGGGAGGTGTGAAGGAAGAAACAGTCATGCAGTTAGCCTAATTACTTTAAGTTTATTGCAAAAACGCATGATCGCACAGGCTCACCTGGTGCGTTCCAGGATGGGTTTTTGTGCTCAGTTTGCGCACATTGCAGCGCCTGTAAACTACGTCAACAGAGGGCAGTTTTATCGATTTATAATGAGTTGCCACTTACTGATATGTGATTCCCGAAAAGTGCCAGTGATATACACAACTTGTTTTGCTTATTACATCCGTTTCCTTTTTAACAGCTATCATTTCATCTCCCCATAAATTATCAACACCGGGATGCTAAAATCGGCTTATTAGCAATTCAGATGATAAACTTTTCATGGTTCGAAACTACATCAACCTGATGGTCAGCATGCCGATGACCACGGTGATGGCTCTTACTTTACCAAAGTATTGGATTTAGTGCTTCTCCCCACCACTTGTGTGCTTCTCCCGTGTGCCAAATCGCTGCTCAGGCAATCTGATAACCAAAAATGTTTATTTTAGCATGTGTAACAATGCAACAAATTAAAATCTTTTCCAAACGCTTAGTTTTTATTCTTCTGCATCGCTGGCTGCACCCTCGCCACCGGTGCCTTTCTTTGCATTGCGTCGCTTCACACGTCCCGGCCGACCACCACCAAATGGCGATTTCAGTGAAAAATCGATGTGCTTCTGCGAATCCAAACGAACGATGAACGAAGGCACATTCACTATTTGACGTCGCACGCTGCAAAAACACCAAATTAACTTTCTTCGTGCAAGACTCAATGTCTCTCTTTCTCATGAACCTCCACCCCGCCCCCTCCCCTTCCTCCCCCACCTCTTTCCCTAGAATTCACAGAGCAACTCGGCTCGGCTCGGCTCGGCCGCGCAATATGTGTGCTCATTTTTGAGTCCGCGTTCTAGCTACGAATGTCTTGAAATCGGGCTTTTTGTTTAGGTGAATTAACCTCGAATCATTAACCTCAACTCCTTCCCTCCGTCACGACAAATGAAGCCTAAGTCACCATCCCCGACCATCACTCCTTCCCCCTCCCACCTTTGACCCTCCGGTTACTGCAATTTGCCTCTTGACTCGTCCAATATATATGTGCCGCAATGTTATATCAGCGCTATCCACAAAAAAATTCATCACGAAATTACGTCCACAGTATTTACGCAGCTGACTGTAAGCAAATCTAAGCGGGGCTTTGGCTTAAAAGAACGGTACTAAGATAACCTACGCCAAAACGGAAGACGTTTGGCTGGTTATTTAGCGAGAATGAGAGATAACAGATGGGCAAAGTGGATTATCCAATGACAATCACATAACAGTTTGTACGGGAGTTCAAGTGTCTACGAGAGAAAGATACTTGAATTCCCGTACAAAAAGATGTAGATTTTAGCTGGAGCGGAAACCAACAAACCACGATGAATGAGAAGCGGGGAAAAGTCGAAGAAAATACCAGGTGTACCAAGAAAAAAAAAAAAATAAATCAACAAAAACTCACCGTATATGCTTTTGCCTGATGAGAACACGAGCATGGT